TCGCTCCTGCCTTTTTCCATAAGCATTGGGGATGCGAGCTCAGTGTTGCAGGTGCCAGGCATGAGTGAGCCAGACAGGGACACACAGGCTGGGCTCAGCCCCGGAGCACGTCCCCCACCTTTCTTCTCACTCATCTCCACCAGCCGGGGCTCCCCGATCTCTAGGTAGAAGTTCTTGTTTTTCTCATACTCCTCATCATCTATCACCTTGATTGATATCGTTTTGCTGGAACAGAGAAGAAGAAATAGAGATTCAAGAGTAAGGGGGAAAAAGGGAGGAGGGGACACAGGGAGAGGAGGAGGAGGGTGGAAACGGCAGGAGAAGGGGGCTGCAGACAGAAAACAGTGCGTTTGACAGCACAACCACACCCAGAAGCAGAGGGCAGGAGCCGATGGGCCGAGCATGGACCACAGGGTCAGAGCACCAGCAGCTCGCAGGGTGCCACCTTCCCTGGTCAGAGGCCACGGCTGGACGTGACACAGCCTGGACCAGCCTCCCCCAGAGGTGCCTCAGCCTGGGGGCAGCAAGGCACGTCCCTTTCCAAAAACCCAGGGTGCAGAACAGCCCCTTGACAGCTTGCACAGACAGCACAGGCTCCCGGGGCCACAAGCACTGCTTAAACCAGCCCCCATGCACGGAAGAGGCTCTGTCTCGCCAGGCACAGCAGAACCATGCACAACATCATGACCAGCTGCTCAGTTGGGGCTTTGGAGGCTCTGATTTACAAACTCGAAAGGGATGCGGGAGTTAGGACTTTTGCTGTCGAGGGAACACAAGGAAAAGATGGTCTTTCTGGTTAGGGCAGGGTGAAGGAAAGCTTTATTGATGGTGAAATTTGACTTTTTAATTTCCCTTTGCAAGAAACACATCCTTCCCCAAGCCCCAAAGGTTTGGTTCTCTCCTGTTTGAGAGTTGTGCAGCAAGTCTCTCTTCTCACATGGGCTCCTGGTTCTGACGTTGTCCCAGACAAGAAATAAGGCGGCAATAGCAACAGGAAATAAAGAGGCAATGCAGTGACTGTCGGCAGCCCTCTGCTTGCCGCCGACCTCCTGCCTGGGTTTGCTTTTTCCCCGTGCTTGGTGGCACTGCCCTCCTGGGAATGCTCTTGCTTGACCAAGCTTCCCAGTTGCTCTTCCCCTGCCCAAGCCTGTCTGTCCCTGTCCTTCAAAGAAACGCCTCCTGTCCCATCCTCAGCTCCTCTGCGCTCTCCACGGGCAGCCAGCACAAGCTGCGGTAGCCCTGAGGCTGCTCTAATATCTGATCAAGGAGGATCCGCCGTTCTGGCAGAACCCAGCACTGGAAACCCATAAACATGGAAGAAAGCCACGCTCTAGGGGAGTGAAATTCAGGGCATGCTGCCGTCATTGCTGGCTTTCTCCCCTCCTTGCACATCTGTACTATCACTCAGAACCCCTCTGTTAAGCTGACAAGTATTTGGCAGCAGAGTCAACATTTCATTCTCATTCAGAGCGAACACCGCCAAGCACTTGGAGGAACCGCCAAGCACTTGGAGGAACAGCCAGGATGATTTCTTGTGCTGTTTGCTATGAGTCAGAAGTGTATTAAGTTTGCCCTTCATGCTTATAATGAAACCATTTACTCAAGAGCAAGCGATTGCTGTGAGAAGTATAACAATGCAGCGCGGCTCAATGTGATTGTATTTTATAATAAATATCTGCAATAATTTGTTCTGATTATAATTATTGTTGCAATAGGTTTGTACACAGGAGAAAAATGGGTTACCAAGCACACAGCTGATCTTACTTTGCATTGATGAGTTAGGGGAAATTATCGTATATTAAAAAAACTAATGAAGGATGCAGAAACGTTCTCAGCCAAGCTATCAAAGAGGACCTGACAGAATTAACAGAATGGCACAATTTCAAAAACATTGCTAACAAAATCAATAATTTTCCTGACAACTCCTATTAAAATGTACACTGTCCCCTGCCCCCATGTATGAAAAAAAGCACCTTTCTCAGGGAAGTTAATTAAAAAAATCTGCCTTCATCAATTCTGAGGCCAGCAGAGGTATCAAGACATAAACGTCCTATGGGTGTGCTCTGGCTTGCCGTCTGTGGCATTCCTCAAAGCCCCATGAAAGAATTATCGCTCACAAAAAAAAACCTGGGTGCCAATTAAAAAAGCTGTTCCTGATGCTTAGACCCAACACCAACAGGAATTCCTTGAATAATGTGGTCTCAGGGCTCAAAGTGCTACTGCCAGCAGGTGCTGCTATTACGCAGTTTTCCGAGTGATCCTGCCAGGGTGTGAGCAAGTGCTCTGTGTTGGGGAGACATGTGCACTGCTGCTCTTTCTGCTGTGCAAGGATGTTGGGAAAAAGAGTGGGAGGAATAAAAAGCAAGTCTGCTCTCTGGATGAATCTCCAATCAGCAAGAACTGCTGAGGCAAATGTGTCCCTGGGATGAGACCACAATCCCAGAGAAAAGGATTTCCTCCTGATGGTGTTTGAGATCACATCTGTTTGAGAGAGAGCAAGCACGTGAAAAGAACACCAGCTATTCTTAGGGCACGCCTGATCTCCATGGCACTGCCTTTCGCCGGCTGCAGAGCCCCTCCGCAGGGTCCTGCACGCAGGTGGCCACGCGGCGGGGTTTGACCAATGCAGAAAGAGGAGGATCAGGCAACTGCACGATTTATTCTCTGTTAAGAGTAAGGACTGATTTCTACAGGAATCTGGAATGTACACTGATGACACCCTGCTCTTGCTGGACCCTCTGACACAGTCTCTGCCTCTCACTGCTCTCCCAGGAAGAGGTTTGCTGGGCAGTGTGGGCTGTGGTGATGTGAGCAGCATCCAGATAGCATGGAGCTGCTCCTGCAGGCTGTGGATTGCAGCCCATCATCCTGATGGCCTCACCTAGTCCTGTGCTCCTGCTGTTTTCAGTGTTACAGTTTTGCAAGCCTGCTGCCTTCACTCCTCTTTTGCAGACGTCCACGGCGCTGCACAAGGCTGATGTTCTTGTGTTACAATACACGGTGCAGATGAGGCAGAGCAGGAGTGCCTGGCAGAGCCCGGGCAGCTTGCTACGGAGCGATGCGGGCTGCAGTCCTGAGTGCAGCAGCTGAGACACGTCTGCCCTTTGATCTCCCTGCTGGACACAGTGGGATGAAATGCGCCGAGACCCAAAGTCCCAACAGTGTAAGTCCGTGCTGAAATTTGCATTTAAAACCTCTCTCTCCTGTGGCTCTTTCAGCACAAAATGTGACAGTGCTTTTGTAAACAGAAGCCAGAAGAGACTCTGCATAGCCCCCTGAAACCTTCACTGCTGAGTCACTGCAGGGCCAAATACCAGGAGTCTCAAATCCGCCAGCCAGAGGGAAAAAAACACCAATGGATTTGGGTGCATGGGGCTAGAAGTCCCTCTCCCAAGCCAGGCTGTGTGTTGGCCTAACCCACCAGGCTTGGCACCCCTCTCGCCCTCCTCCCCGCCCGCTGCAGGGAGCACCAGTGACACTGCAGAGCAAGCGTGCAGCAAACCACTGCTGCTGCTGGGGTCTTCCTTCCGTTGGTGTTGAGCCCGTTTTGCCTGAGTTAAAGACCCCTGCTCTGGCATTAAGACTGAGGGCACCCATGGCACATCCAACTACCTGCATTTCTGTACCAGAAATTGCTCTTCCCTGAGTCTGCAGCCAAGGCAATTGCTGAGGGAATGAGTTTCATCTCATTTCCATGTATCGGAAATCAAAGAATGAAACAAATCTTGCAGAATTGCAGCTCCAGCTCTCCTCCTCTTGCTGACACCCAGCAGCAACAAGAGAAGGATGGTATCTTCATGAACACAGCATACAGCTGTCTGCCCTTGCTTCAAGCCCAATGCTCTCCATCAGGATTTAGTTTTCATTTCAAACCATGCTATTCAATTCGAACTGTAAAGGTCTTTTAAAAGAGCATTCCCGCACAACCCTTAGCTAAACCAGCCCATGGAAAAGTCCTCTTGGCTGGTGATGCTCTAAGGATGGCACACCAAGTGAAGAACTGCCATACCCAGCGGCCATCCAGCACAGCCTCTTCCTCTGACAACTGCCAAGAACACCTTGGAGTACGAGGATATAGGAGCAGGATGGGCATACAGACAACATTTCCAACTGATGCTCTCCCAGCCCTGACATATTTGTCTTAAGGGTTTCCCAGCCAGACCAGGTTTCTATGTATTTAGTTCTGCTCTGCAGATTTCTCCCATTTCCCTTTGAGCTTGGCTAAGCTTTTGGCATTTGTGATATCCCATGTGCCAGGGAGAGCAATGTGACTGCTAATGCCAGCTTAGTGTCACAGACAGCTCTTAGGAGGTGATGTGCACTTGGCACCAGCATGCCAGCCCACTGGCATTTCTCTGGAAAGGGCAAGAGACAGCACCCGTAACGCCTGCTTGCAAGTGACCCCAGCAGGGACATGGCGCTAGCAGGACAGGGCTGAATGTCCTCAGTCAATGGACAAGCAAACTGTCTTTGTAAAATGGCAAAGGCAGGGCAAGAAGAGAGCTGAGGCTTAGAGAAAAATGCCAGCTGGGGAAGGCTCTCTGTGAGCAATCTCATGCGTGTTCAGGGAGAGGTACCTATGCAATGAGCTAGCACAGTCTAGCACAGGGTGACAGGAGAAGAACAAAGACCAACAGGAGAATATTGCTCTACAAGTATTTTTTTGTCTGAGGCCACATGAGAAGATGGACGCAGCACTGGGTAGAGGTGTAAGGAGCTGGGACTCCCAGCTCTCCTATCTGCACTAGCCTTTTTTCTGTCGTGAGATCAGATGGCACCAGGAATGAGTGGTGACAACCTACAGGGACCTTTGCATTAATTTCAAACCTGAATATCTGCTGAGTCATGATGCACCAATAGAAGTCCTCAATATATTCACCAAAATCCTGCCCAGTTACATGAAACAGCAGAAACCCTTCTCATGACTCAGACAAGCAACCAGCACTGCAAGGACTAAGGGAGCTTGCTGTTTCCAGGGCATCAGCAATCAGCTCCAGAGAGATCCAGGCAGGGCATGTGGGGGGACAGGGGACATCCTCCAGGACACTTCTTGACAGGGCCAGCTCTCCAGGAGCAGAGATGTGTCAAGTCTAGCACTCACTTCCCACTGCTGCTCAGATTCAGCGTGGCGAAAGGTGGTTTTCATTGCTGCACAACACACCTCTCAGCTCTCTGTCAGCACTGTAGTCGTGCCTTTTTAACACTGCTTCATTTTCTTG